AAATCTCATGTTGACCATATCATCGATTCTATCCATGAATTTAACTTCGATGCTTCAGCTGGTGTTACTTTTGAAACCTGGTTCAACAAATATGAAGATTTGTTCAAGGTCGACCTCAAAAAACTTGACGACGCCGCTAAGGTCAGAATACTCTTACGAAAACTTGGAACTGTTGAATATGAACGTTACAGTAATTTTATCCTTCCAAAGAATCCAAGAGATTTTTCTTTTGATTCAACGATCGAAACTTTGTTGCAAATATTCGCTGAACAGTCGTCTTTGTTTAATATTCCTTATCAATGTCTTAAGATAACAAAAGCAGTTGACGATGACTGGGTGAAGCATGAGGGGTTTGTAAACCGTGAATGTGAGCGCTTCAAACTATCAGCATTGACAGAAGATCAGTTCAAGTGTCTAGTGTTCGTGTGTAGCCTCCAATCTCCTGAAGATGCCGATATTAGAACCAGAATTTTGAGTAAAATTGAACAATGTCCAAACATAACACTACAGGAAGTAACCACAGAGTGCCAAAGATTGGTAAACGTAAACCACGACACTTCCATGGTCGAAAATAATGGCCAGTTGCCATACGTTCATGCTGTAAGTGGAAAGAAAGATACCGGCTCAAGAAAATCATCACACACAGACAATCAGCCCTCATCTCCATGTTGGTCGTGTGGAGGTTGGCACTATAAAAGGTTCTGCCCATATAGAGAACATTATTGCAGTAAATGTCACCGAAAGGGCCATAAAGAAAACAGATGCAGAAAAATAACCCATAAACGACATTCTTCGAAGCCCTATCTCAAGAAATACAGACATAATGCACTAACTAACAAAGTATTGGTATCACATAATCGAGCACGAATTTGCCGCCGACGAAAGTATGTGAATGTAGATATAAATAAAAAGCGTGCCCGCCTGCAGCTCGATACTGCTTCCGACATCACACTTATCAGTCGAAGAACCTGGAAACTTATCGGGAAACCACAGGCGCTACCGACAACCCAGTTAGCTCATAGCGCTTCTGGAGGAAAGTTGAACATTGTTGGAGAGGTTTGTTGCATAGTTTCAAAAGGAAACGCGAAGACAAAGGCAACACTTTATCTCACAGAGAACCCAGGACTAGATTTGCTGGGTCTAGACCTATTAGAAACACTACAATTAACAAATAACTCCAACCACATATGCAGCGCCGTAAGAACCAGTAAACCAGTTGAGAAGGATCTGAAGAATGTTGTGTTAGAAAGACATAGTCAAGTGTTTACAGAAGAATTGGGGGAGTGCAAAAAGGCAAAAGCAGTAGTGATTCTTAAACCGGGAGTTACCCCAGTCTTCAGGCCAAAACGTCCTGTACCTTATGCAGCGTTACCTATTGTTGAGCAAGAACTAGAGCGTCTGCAAAGTAGTGGAATAATAGAACCAGTGAACTATTCCGATTGGCCAGCACCAATAGTGATTGTCAAAAAGCCAAATGGAAGTATCCGGTTATGCGCAGATTATTCGACTGGATTAAACGAAGCACTTGAAGTCCATCAATACCCTTTGCCGGTACCAGAAGATTTATTTGCAAAACTGAATGGGGGTAAGTATTTTGCAAAATTAGACCTGTCAGAAGCTTATCTACAGATTCCAGTAGCGGAAGAATGTAGGCATTACCTGACAATAAACACTCATAAAGGATTGTTCCGATATAACAGACTTCCTTTTGGAGTAAAAACAGCCCCTTTAATCTTCCAACAAGTCATGGATACTATGTTACAAGATATTCCTGGTAATGCGGCCTATCTAGATGACATACTGATCATGGGCACAGACTATGCTGACTTAGAGAGTAAGGTCGACACGGTGCTTAGACGCATAGCAGATTATGGGTTCAGGTTGCGTGCTGGAAAATGTGATTTTTACATGGAGCAAGTCCGTTATTTGGGATTCATAATCAATAAAAACGGGAGAAAACCTGATCCTGAAAACGTTGAAGCCATCAAGTCCATGCCCCCACCGACGGATGTATCAACTTTACGTTCTTTCTTGGGAATGGTTAGTCATTATGGCGTCTTTCTTCCAGATCTGCATCGCCTTCGTGCTCCACTTAATTGCTTACTGAAAAAGGATACCAAATGGTTTTGGTCAACCGAATGTCAAGAAGCATTCCTAAAACTAAAGCAGCTCCTATCATCAGACATTCTACTTACACATTATGGCCCAGATCCTCCAATTATAGTCGCGGCAGATGCGTCAAATTATGGAATCGGAGCTGTAATTTCACATACCTATCCTGACGGGTCTGAGAAAGCAATCGCTCACGCAGCAAGATCGCTGACTATGACTGAAAGAAACTACAGTCAGATTGAGAAAGAAGCTCTCTCCATCATATTCGCTGTAAAAAAGTTTCACAAGATGCTGTTTGGCAGACAGTTCACCTTACTAACAGACCATAAACCGCTACTGACAGTATTCGGATCTAAAAAAGGTATCCCGGTATATACAGCAAACCGTTTACAGAGATGGGCAACTACGCTACTGGGTTATGATTTCAAGATAAAGTACCAACCAACAACCGACTTCGGACAGGCAGATGCCCTCTCAAGGTTGATTAATTCGCATGCAAAACAAGAAGAGGACGTGCTTGTAGCTGCCATAGAAGTCGAGGCTGAAGTTCAGAAAGTATTAACAGATGCAGTTTCCGGACTCCTGGTAACATTCGAAGCCATTAAAGAAGCTAGCAAGAAGGATAATACATTGAAGATTGTTCACCGCTGCATACTCAACAAGTGGCCTTCATCTAGACTACGTGGCGAACTCTTACAATATTTTCGTCGACGAGATTCCTTAACAGTTGTCGACTCGTGCATCAGGTTTGGCCACCGTATCGTTATCCCTAGAAGCCTTCGGCATCATTTCATTAAGCAATTTCACTGCGGGCACCCGGGGATAAGTAAAATGAAATCACTAGCTCGCAGCTATGCATACTGGCCGACAATGGACCGTGATATAGAACAAAAATGTCTCAGTTGTTGGTCCTGTCTAGAGGCCGCGAAGAATCCAACAAAAGCTGAACCAAAACCATGGCCAAAACCGGACGGGCCTTGGCAAAGAATACACGCCGATTTCGCCGGACCAAACGCTTTTACAAAATGGCCAGAAGAATATGATATGCCGAAAACGACATCAGACAGTACAATAAGAAGATTGTCAGGATTGTTTGCTTGTTTTGGGGTTCCAGGGATTTTAGTGACCGATAACGGCACTCAGTTTATGTCATCAGCTTTCAAACGCTTTTGCAGTGAAAATGGCATATCGCATCTACAATCTCCTCCGTACCATCCTCAGTCGAATCGCCAAGCAGAAAGATTCGTGGATACGATAAAAAGAGCTCTGGTAAAGGGGAGAGGTGAGGGTATCCCAGAACAAGTGATCAGTAAGTTAATAATGTCTTACAGAGTTACCCCCAATCCGGCAGTACCAGAAGGAAAGTCACCAGCTGAGTGTATGTTCGGGAGAAAAATTCGGACAGTCTTCAACAGTATGTTGCCACCTAGAAAGACAATAAAACGGATGAATGAGTATCGTACGATCACTCGTAGCTTCCAGGTGGGTGAAAGGGTACTTGTCAAAGCCTATCAAGGTAATAGGAGATGGGAACCAGGTGTCATAGAACGTCGAATCGGAAATGTACTGTACCTAGTCCGGAAGGGTGTCGGAAAATGCATAAGACATATAAATCAAATGCAAAGAGACAGCAGTACAATGGTCCCAGGAAGCCTGCTCCCATTTCAATTGCTCGTGGATTCACCTCAGAAAAGCCATCATGAGCGAGAAAGAAGTCTTACACAACGGACTTTAAAGGAGGGAGGTGTGACGACGGACCACGGGTAAACTCGAGGAAGCTATAAGAGGCTCAGAAGGAGCCGAAGATATTCCAGCCAATCACCGTTAGCAAGAATATTCTAGAATCCCTACGTGTAGCTTCCCGATTGGACAAGGCTAATAACCCCCTGTATGCGGATTGGAGGACTATAATGATGATTTTTGTTCTTTCTAAAACTATAAATACCTGACAATTTGTACCCATAATTGACACTGTTAGGAATAACATTCCTTTCACTAGTCTTCTGTCTTCTCTTTGCGACTTGGAAGGGTTTGGGCGTTCGTGTGTTCAGTTGTACGCGTTATATCAAGTAAATCAACCATTTCTAGATATAACAGGTATCTATTCCACATGTTTTTGTAACTGTATCAAAAGATCAAAAAGATGTCAGTTCGTTTGTCTAAATTCAAATAATTGTTTATGTAATAAGATAACTCTGAATTGCCTTCTAACTGTTTGACATACGAGTATAAGCGTAAAGATATCTCCAATTGCTAGGCGTCTATGTATATCCTGATGTTATGTAGTTTAAGTTGGTTGATATGAGTTTCTGGATTGAGATGTCGTATTAAATGGTACTTATCGGCAAGATATGTCTATAATCTCGAGCGAACTAAAATTCCCATCTGTATTCGAACATGTGATACTGAAAAAAGATGACGTGTACGACTGGGATATTTTACATCGAATGATCTTGAAGTGGTGACCGATCTTATGTCGACCTGTCCAAGGGATTTTATATTTTACGAATGGCTAAGTAACTTCGTAACCCAAACCTCATAATGTCGATCATTATATATCCTTCCAATTTAAAACAGAGTAACCTAATGACTCACAACAAAACATGAAAGGTTTTCACAAATGTTCTAGTGTCTTCGAAATACTTCACAGGATTTCAAGACCAAAAAGACTAAATCGGCTGAATTTGTTGTTTCCTTAGGTGTTAGTGTATCATTGAAACATTATAGCTTCAAATTTGTTAGTGAAAAACCCATTTAAACTTCAAAAACGAACTCATAGTTCGAAGCTTTCTCATACTCTAACAGCTTTCTGACAAATTCTCTATGGTTTTCAATAGTACTCTAACTACTGATTGATCTACAATTGAGACTAATCACTTTGAAACGGCTTAGCAATTATGAAGATTATAGAGGAAATCGATCTGGATACCATCTATAATAAAGTATCGACTACATGATGAATGAATACAGAATGAAATAGAACATACCACATGATGTTTTTCTTCTTAATTTCGATGGTTTTGTAATAATCTGATTATAATTACAATCAATTAAATTGGATGATAAATTCTTTTTGAATAATTCCAATCGATGTAAACTATCCCAACCAGCCGGTCTTTATTTATCAAAGAAATTGTAAAACAGAATAGTAACATGTGAATGAATCAGTGTTGCTTTATAAGCGGGAAAAGGACAGAACCAATGAGATAAATTATATCATAATTAATCAAATTGAACTATCCTATTGTAAATAATCAAGATTCAGTTTCGATCGGTAATATACAAATTCTACATAGACTGATTGATTATAACTATTATGTAATCCAACATGTCCAATTCATCCCAAGTAGTGCATGCCTGTTGAATGTATCTGCACATATATTGCTGTTGTTTACATCGGGACTCGAACATAGAACATTTTACTTCAAACTTTTTCAAATAATAATATAAACATCATACCACTCCAACAAGCTAATGACTATTTGATCTCAGTTGATAATGAATTGGGCGTTTTAGACGAAATCTACTGGCTCTTAGTTTCAATATGAACATTAAGACTAGGATCCAGATAAATGTAGCTGACGAATCTCAACTTCCACAAACATTTATAGATATTTCTAAAAGAGCTAAAATACACTTTTTGATGTGAATAATTTGTTCAATAACATATGATAACAAACACTAGTATCGATTTTAACAGTAAGTGGTTCCGATTAGCTCTCCAGATGTTTGTATATTATAGCAACTCACGTTCAATTGAGTTTGCTCTCACCTAATTCGGTTAAGCCCTTTTATTAACTTATTAAACGGACAAAGTGACCTGCACTATAATAACTTATTGTATCCTTATTACTGTTGCGAATGTATGTACCTTTATTATTGTTATCCTTGTATGAATGTGTATGCTCGGCAAGCCTCACTGCCTACGCATTTATTCACGCGACTAGCTTTACTATTAACCGCTTAATTGACTCGATGATTCATTCATTTCACTATGTATATATATGTCCATGTTATTCATATTCATGACTAGCTCGCTCGTTCATTCACTCGATTGATCGCTCGCTCGCTTGCCTGTTTGCATTTCGGCACAACTATTTGATGCTTGCTTAACGCATCTGTAGTTTTGGATATCTGTGTGTGGTCCCTTAATAAACGTAATTAACGCTTCGTATTTGCCTTCTGATTATTACCGTTGGAGCATTATTTGGTGACGGTTACCGAGACGAACTGTATACGGAGTTTAAGGAATATATCGACCACCGACCACCATAATATCTTCACTTACTTCTTTAAAAATAACTTTCTATTAGTTCACTCTGAGTGTGCAGTAACAGGGACTGATCAGTTGTAAACCTCTTGATCAACAACACAAAACTACAGAACCTTATTAAATGATACACACCTATATCTATGACTTCATATTAGACATTGAAAAAATATCTTACTGTGAAAGGTATGTATTAATGATAAAAGGGATATAAATAATTGTTTCTCTTTAGGTAATACTATGGTGTATGCTACTCGTATTGACAAATATAAGTAGTATGTGACACCAATGCGAAGTTTAAAACCTGGCAACAGAAGACTGAGGAATTCGAATTGAAGAAAACAGGAATGTAAACAAACAGTAATGAAATAAATATTAAAAACTGTTCGGCCGTGTTACAATTATTATTTCCCTTAGCGCTTTTCTTCTATTCAAATAGAATATATAGGCATATATTACATATCAGAATATTGATCGTTTTCAAGGTGATTTTAATCTTCCTAAAATGTGGATCATAAATAATATTCAGTTAATAATGATCTGAATGGATATGACTTGTAAGTAGACATTGATACATTGTAGTGACTGATTGGGAACTTCAACAGCCTATATGAACTACTATCCAGCTAAATTGTATTGTAAAGGAAATATCAACAACATAATTAGAACTTACATAAAAATTGCTTTTGGATCAACTAGCATAGCTGAATTTTTCAATGGTAGATCAAATAGACGATGTTTAATATAATTAACCAAAGTATTTGTATTGATGTCCTCTTTGATTGACAAATAGATCAAAGCAGCTCCATCTTGTCGAGTGTTTTGATTTGTTTAGATGCATAAATATTTAAGGTAATAAAGCAGAGCATTGACGCCGGTAAATATTGAAAATCAAGAAGTACTAGACAGTTGTTGCGTTCTAATACTGAATTGTCTCAACCATCCACAATCATAAACCTAATGAAGGGAGGTTAGAAGATCTTTTAGTAACAGATAACTCACAGAACCTAAAGTTCATTCTTTACCTGAATCATAACTATTTATTGATGATCAATCTCATGATGAAATGGAACATTTGTCTAGTACTCATTGTGTTTTTATGATTGTCCTGCACATGTATATCGCTGAATTAAACTAACTTCAGACAAACTCCTCATGTTAATATGCATATAATATAAATCAATTGAAGTTTGGATTGAGAAACGTTTAATTTGAATTGTACTTCTGAATAATAATATATTTCTAACAAAATATGAAAGCCCTAGACACAATCTCTTGTAATATGATGAGATGTGTATTGAATAGATCCGTATAGATCTAAATAACATAGTGATAAGGTTTTTAACCGTAATTCAAGATTGATGTGATGTTAGTCGGGTGAAGAACAACATTCCATTTAATATTGATGAAACATTTTGTGCATGAATGATACTTATTAGACAACTTGTTTCTAAGGCATTTTCTCAATCGACTATTTCAAATCATCACACAAAATCAATTTTTCATTTTCATTAATTTCATCAATCAAAATTATTTTAACATTTAGAAAAGGATACATTCAAGGCATAATTTACGTAGATGATATAGAATGTAATCAAATTTTTCATTTGTATAACCAAATTCTTTTTCAAGTATATCAGTCATATCTGTCTACAAATGTTCATAGAAAAGATAAAGAAAAATCGAAAAAAAGGGAACAAATGAGTCATTCCAAGAATGGTTTTGAATGAACTGGTCTTTGATAATTTTGTTTATTTTAATAGTTGAATTCATGAGTTTTCATCCGCAAGACCAATTATTCCTGGGTTCAAGTTTTTTTATTGCGAAATCATGGATGTGCACTGCTGAGGAGTCCCATACTAGGACAAAACGGCCGTCTAGTGCTTCCGTGTTTTCAATGGTTGTCTAGCTTATATCAACTCATGAATTCAACTATTGAAATTACTACAATCTCCGCAAACTCCATTCCACTCATAATTTTGATCATTTCAAGAATGTTTTGAATACTCTGACCTGAAGTACGTCATTGTTTAATCTATCGTACATAGAATAACTGGTGCACTATGTAACTGAATACAGATAAATGAAGAATATAAATATCTACCATGTTATTACTTATTGCGTACAATTCCGAATTATCGAAATGTTGACGGTTTAATACACTCATGGAGCAGAAATCAATCATCTTCGATGCATAAACATTTAATTGAAATAGGACCGTATTGTTTGTAGAGAATGTTTCAAGTGATAATTCTCAGGCTTGCGAGCCATGTGTTTTTATGTTTGAACAAAATCAATTTCTTCTGAATTTGATCTCTCCTTTCTTCCTTGATAATCCATATTTGATAACATTTTATTCTTTCCATATTAAATTATGTCACTTCGTTTAAATGATTTGCTTTGATATGCATAGACAAATGTATTGAAAAATAAGTGTTTAGCTTCTATGGGCATATTGTATTCTCCAGATTAATTCCATTTCTTCGTTAGCCTAATAAAATTTATTCAAATAATCGTTCCTATGAAATTTATATGTTTTCTTACAATGTGGAGTGAATATTTATGAAGATGGATAGGACTGATCACTTGCAATCTTGAATGTTACCATACTGAAAAACATAAACCTTTACAATTCAATCGATTATCTGTTGAATAAACTAGTGATTATCTGGATTCACTATTTCAGTGGATAACACATTGATGTTTGAAGTGATTATATGATGAATTTTGTTCTCAATATGAACATCAATAATGCAATGACTGTTCATCATGCTGACGAGTCTTAAATAGTACAGAACCCATAAAATACATTCCATTATATATCATTACTCAACTTAAAGAAATATTTTTGATTGAGATCATGAACTGATTGATGTCAGACCACCCGGGGCATTCAGTCTTGCACGCGAACGCTTAACCTCTAGGTATCCAAAGGTGTTAATGTCTAATTTCAACCAATCCACGATATTGCGTGACCATCTACCAGACACAGATTAACTCCAGTGGTCACAGCTTCGCACTAGAATTCCGAGAATTCTCTCATGAATGTAGTCACTAGTGAGCACATGTGACTGAATGACAATTCAGAATATTTAATTACAAATCTGTAGCAAATAATATGGGCTATAGAATTTGTAAAAGCTAATCACATTTGCATAATCCCATACATTCTTTTAACTACTCTAATATACTGAACTATAATGACTGAGGTATAATATCAGGTTCATATTTCATTTTAATTGAATTAATTGATATGTGTTTATTCTTCTGATTAAAAATATCATTGGAATACGACAAAATTTTATGGAAAAAATATCGTCAGACATTACAATTTGATTAGTTAAACATTGTAGTTGGCCAATATTGCCAATAAATGGTCTATTTTTCCTTAACCGAAAGAGCATTATTTCTCATAGAAAACATTACAGATAGGTATTTATTGAAGGCTCAAAACAAATTTTTCAATAAAACAATCATATTAAAAAACTTTCTGACATGTAAACTCAAAAAGTGAAAGTTTAAATATAAACATCATTGAATACTACTATAAGTAATAAGGTATTAATCCATTACATAATCAAAGTAATGGATGTAATTCATTTGTCATGGTCACATTATTCTTGTGAAAGTTGATCATGTTACTTTTTTGCTCAATTCAATCGTTATTCATTTATCGATCGTCATTCAAACACATTCAATCATTGTTCACCTGTTTATTTGAATATTTTAATCGGAATTCAATTTGGCGGGAAAATAAGAGTTTAGAATTCAAACTTGATATATAAAAACAATTTCTTTGTTTGTTTGTTTTTTTCACTTACTACTTGATTTTAAATGTTCAATTTCTTCTAAATCCATTTTTAAATAATGAATATGTTGTTCAATAATTTATAACCATAATTCTAAATCATTCATTATTGACCATGGTTCAGTATAATCAATATAAATGATTTCCATAGTATACCATATAGTTGATTTATTTAAAGCAAATTTTAATAAATTACTTTGTTATGGATCACCATCTAAACTCCATATACCCATATGTAAAGATTCTTAAAATGATTCAATAATTTAATACTTTCATATTGATTCAATGAATGTTATACAAGACTATTGATAGTAATATGAATTAGTGAATGAATATTTAAGGATTATTGTATTTATAAGACAGTTATATCTTGAATAATGAACAGTGAATAAATCTAATAAACACTTTTGTTGAAGTTAAATTCTGCTCTTAACTCCTTCATTTAGACTTGAACTGAACAGATAATTCACTAAACTGATGTGACACAATATCAATTAGCGTGTTTGATGGGTGTGTATGTTTACGTTGTCAATATTCAAGATTGTAGTTGGTTAGTGTTTGTTTGTTATAGAAATTCCTTTAAGTGAACTGCTTCATATCTTAAACATGTTCTAATGATGATATCTAGAACATTGTTGATTGATCTTGGTCAATAGAATCGAGAACGTGATCTAGGATCAAAGCGGATATCAGGTAGTTTACAATGCAGGTTTATCCAAGCGACAAGTCTCAAATAAGATAATGAGTTCCAGTTCTCATTCATATTGATTCTTCAAAACATAGTTTGAAATTAGGTTGGATTTGAATAATAACGACTAATGTACATATTCATTTTCAAGACAATTTTACATTACTAAACTGACATACACATATATCAGTTGTTTTTACAGAGATAATTATCAAGTCATTAGTAGGCATCTTGATTAACTTGGAAATCAGTGGTAACGAATACCGTACAGTTTTCACTAAAGACAATGAAATAATCTGACAGATGAATTTCGCTAGTGAAAATCTCTTTAGAATACAACTCAGTAAAATTCTATGGAAGTATTTCATGGAAAGAGTTACTGATTTTCTTTTGATGCCTTAACCTCCCCAGATATTAATCATCTTTCTCGGAGAAGTATGATTTGTAAAAGGAATATATAACATCATCATTGATGGAGAAAAACTCCTTACACTCTGAAATTACTAACCTTTACTTCCATCTTCATGTAGATTAAGAAATTGATAATCTAAACCAATCCCACATTGAATATCTGTATTCGAATAAATACATTCAATAATTCGTGTTTTATCGGTGGATTCATTGCCAAAAATGATTAATTGTGCTTTATCAGGTGATTCAATTGTTCCATAAGCATTTCTTCTATTCGATTGAACTTCATCAAGTAAAGATATCCTAAAGGGTATAGAAAAATGATAATTATTCATTCACATTTATGTGTATTACATCAATTGAATTTAGACTATGAAATGAAAATTTAGTACTGCTGTTAGGGCTTATCGTTCACAAATCTTTTAGAACATTTTAAGTTTTTAGAAAGCAGCAGGATGTAAAAGGTATTGGATTTTAAGATTAACATAACAGACTTAATTTCGTAAGGGAACTTTATAAAGCCAGAGAGGAGTGGACGACTGTTTGATTCTTGTATTGCGGCCGTTTAACTTGTAAAGTGTTTATCTGGTATTTACTGGCTTATATTATTAACTCCAGTTAATTTGTGAAATGAAACCAACCTCACCCCTTGCTAATAGTGAACGTTTTCTCACTTCCGAAATTGTTAAACTGCGATGGACACCGTTGTTTACTATTATCGTTATTTACCGAGAAATCATATACTAAGAGAAAAATGCTACGTAAGTATCTCTGATTTTCTTATGACAACTAAGTAAGGCGGTCCTCAAAGTAAAACTACAAACGTTCGAGTCATCAAGATGTTCCGTTTCATCAATCTCATACTTCTCTTCATTGCTTAAGATGATAATCTTGATAAGCAGTACGTTTCTTAATAAAAATAATAGTTGCCTCTGAAAATAACTCGGTTTAGACAAAAAATGATTAGTAAGTGAATTTGTTTCCGGACTCCGATTTGAGCCCACCCTTGGATTCACATGAGATCAAGTTCACAAATCTCGACCATGAGAATGACATCGTTCAGTCATTGGTTCAGAATTCAGTGGTCCAGATTTTAGCCAAAACACCGATCTCACCAAATATCATTTACAAATGATTGCATCAGTTCCTTTTTGGTCGAAATTGTTAAGCCAACATGTCCAATAACTTTGTAAATTACCGTTTTAACTATTTAATTTACTCTTACAATGTTGTTATGTTTATTGATTAGTCAGTGAAAAACAGCTGATAGTTTGTGAATGAAAATCAGGTCATACTCTTCTTCATATATAAAAGGCGAAACCATGTATAGTTATGAATTAATCAATAGTCGGAAAATTTCATTTCTATACTTTTAAAATTTCTCACTATTAATCTGCTCAAATCTTTGCAAAATAGAATTACTCAAAAGACTGCTGGCGTCATATTTTGTTTAATGCATAGGTTGAAACTATGAGGAGAAGTACAACATTCGATCTCTAATAGAAGAGTTTAATTTTTAAGGCTTTTAATGAATCTCGCTTTACTTAAGCAGAAATGAAGCATCTCAGCACAAGAGAGAAACTAAAGACAAGACGATCATTATACACTAGGCATAAATCAGAATTCCATCTCACTTCACTTATTTTTCTGCGTTTAGCTAAACTGAATAATATGCAATTTCAAAATAAATCAAACCAAATATCACTTGACGTCGATTTTTCAATAAATCGCATAAGAATCCCACAGCTTACACATAGAATTGATTAATTAGGTTACACGTAACCTCTTTGTTAGT